TTGGGCTAGATGGTCGTTTGTTTGAAAGACCCTAATGGCGAGCTGGGCAAGTGTCGAAGACAAAAATTATCATGATTAAGGCGTTTGGGTTGAGTGGTCGATCATAACGTTGGGTCGCAGAAGACAAAATCCATATGATTAAGGTCTTTGTGCTGAATGGACCTTGTTTGAACGACCCCAGTGGTTGGTTGGGCAAGAGTCGAATATTAAAATCTACCATGATTAAGACCTCAAGGTTGGGTAGTCGATCCTATTGTTGGGCCGCAGAAGGCAGAATCCATCATGATTAATTAAGGCTTTCGGGCTGGATATTCGTTTGCTTGAATATCCCAATAATAAGTGTCAAAGACAAAAAATTACAATGATTAAGGCTTCCGGTCTGGGTGATCGATCCTAATATTGGGCCGAAAAGGCTTGAAGCCCAAGATGATGTAAAAACACAACATGAGCAAGATATCCGGAATGGCTGGTCGATTAACTAAGGTATTATTATTGGAGACTCCAAAGACAGGTCGGGCCGATTATCTAAGGTGTTATTACCAAACATGGAATATGCATAATTACAATAAATATTTGACCTGAAAACAATTGTTGTATTTACATTTATTGCTTATCACTTTCGCATGTCAATGAACTTGGGCTTCAATCTTTAAATGGTTTTAGTGGATTCTATGGGTGTTGTCAATATTTTCTACCAACATTTCCATCAGTTGTGGTCGATGCGGACTATATTCATCAAGGGAACAACACAACATAACAAAATGGGCAGTTGTCAACCATCAAAAAAAAAAAAAAAAAATGGGCAGTTGTCTCACAATATATCATCCTATTGTTGGCAGATTTATTTATATTAGTTCAAAATAATTTTTTTTATTATTATTTGTCCTATATATGTTTGTGTTTTAATTGAAAATTAAAAAAAAAAAGTAAATTAGTTTATTTATTTATTATTCAATAACTATTGCACCACTCTTCTCCTGTTGAAAGGAAGTTTTTGAAAAAAAAAAAAAAAAAAAAAACAAGAAAATAAAAAGAAATCCTATCCTATCATGCCTGAATCTTTTGACATTTTTTCGTGTCCAACTCTGATGGTTAATTATTGATGATACAATTTTTGGCATGTTCCCCCATTTATTTAGTGAAACACTACCGACCGTTTTTTAATATTTACCACCCCGAAAAGTCGATTTTGTCTTCAACCCACACTCTCTCTCTATTCTCCTCTCTTTTCTCTCGAATTTCGCACTTCCAACGTTCGAAAAAATTCTGAAAAAATGTCGGCACCACCACGACGCGGAGACAAGGAATTTTTTTTCGGAATTTTTCGAAGTCGAGAACCGGAAGATAATGTATAAATTGAAAAATGAATTTGTTTTTTTTTTCAGTATAAAGGACAAATTCGACTTTTCGGAGCAGTAAATATTAATATGGGGCGGTATTTAACAACACCATTTATTTAAATATTGAAAAAAAAAGGAGACCACTGTTGGAGGTCATGTCCAATCAAATTGAAAAGCGCGGTACTTGTTAAAGGAGGCCATGAACCAACGACAAAAAAAGATTAATTAAAAAAAAAATTATCAAAAAATTCAAAAAGTATATAGAAAAAATCACAGAAAATCTAGATTATTTTATTTCGTGTACTGTTAGTGTGTGTGTGTGTGTATTTATGTACTGTCACCACTCTCATCTTTCAATTCTTGATCTGCCTGCACCACCAATATAATAACAACAACACCCATGATTGACCATGACAGGCGGCCCACTGCAGCTAATTGTACTTCAAATTCTAATACAAAATAACCCAAGTCTTAAAACTATATGAAATTTTATGATTAACCAATAATTGCCCAACACCTAGTTTAGACCAACTAATTAAATATACAAAATTTCACAAATCTACTATATTAGACCGCCTGACCATATCTATATTTTTTAGGAAAATGCAAAGATTCCGTTATACGGAAACATTCCATCGAGGTTTGTAACTGTTAGATCATTATGTAAACGTTAGAGATAGTTGATCTAACGATTACAAACTCGACAGAATGATTATGTAAGGGGACCGTAGCCATCTTCCTATTTTTTATTAATCACATTTGAATATGAAAGTACGTACGTAAACACATTGAAAAAAAAAATATATATAATTATCCAACATAACCTTGCAAGTATCATTAATGTAAACTAAAATCAAGCAGTACATAACATACATTTCAATCTAATTAATTTCAAGATATACT